TGAAAATAAGTATAAGATCCAGTATTGAAGAGAGAAAGGTTGTGATGGGAGAGCATACGCTCTACGGAACGACGACTCCCATCAATATCAGCACCACCCCAGAGGGGATTGTGTCCATTGAAATCTTCCAGGATTAAAAAGGGAGATGGCAACTGTTGAACGACAGCATCAGGGTCCGATTGATTATAAGTCTCTCCAGGAGACAGGTAGAGAGAACAGATGGTGATGGTACAACCCAAGGAATGGCTATGGCCTCCAAGTATGTATCGAGTGACAAACACAAGGCAGACACGTGGTGGTAGACCAACAGTGCCATCCTTCCATGCACTCATCTATCACACAACCTGTCATGCCGGTATAAAGAAAACTGCCAAAAGGTGACTGTATTGGCAGGTTTCTGCAATGTTTCCTGTAAGGAAAGACACACGGGACGATAGGAATCGATCAAGGCCTTAATGTCATTTAGATTAGAGTGAAAACTTCGACAGTTGTACTGTATCAAAGTTGCCACTTTTACGTAGGTGGAGGAGAACTGGGCGGAGAACCCTTCTGTTTACGACCATGCAGTTTTTCTGAATGTAAAAGGGAGACATTTTCTCTTAGGATTTGTCAGCCGAGGTTCGGCTAGCCTAGGAAGTTTGGGTTAGTCCTAGATACAAATTTTAAGCTAACTTTGCAAACTAATCATTATAATACAATAAAATAAACATATCTGATACAGTGTATTAATGAAAAGAACAACAAATAAACAAACTGGAGTACTATACACATTTGTAAGTCTGTTGTTGTTGTTGTGTTTGATTAAACCTTATTTTCTTTTGATTAAAAGTACATTCATGCATTAGTGAAGTAATGTTGTGAAAGCGGTAGTAGCTTAAAGTTATAGTAAACGTTTCGTCATACAGGAAATAGTTCATACTTACTAACGGTCACCACATGGATCTCCGGGTAGACTTTGAAACATTTGGTGGTGAAAAAGCTTATGCCAAATACAGTAACTTCTTAGTACGTAGTGAGAGAGAAACTTCAGGTTAATGTTTGGGTCCTATCTTGGAAATGCTGGTAAAAGCGATTTTTACCGTTTTTACTTTAATCCGTGATAGATTTATTTAGTTTCTCCACTGATGAGCGTTATACAAATAATTTATTTTACAAAATGTAATATTTATAACCAAAACTTCATACCATAGAAAAGTATTTGTATTATAGAGAAAATTATCATTGTTCGAATCATGATAAAAATCTGAATTCTTCAACTTCTTATCCATAACAATTGTTTATAGCTCCATTAATTGCCAACAAAACGCTTTTTTAATGAAGAGAGATGAGATGAAGATTCGTACAGAAAAGTAGTCACATTGCTGTTCTTGTTATTTACAAGTTGTTGTCGAAATTATTTAAAACAAAAGGCAATAAATATTAGGTCGTCAAGAAATTGATGGTACTTTTTTAGATAAAAAACCCGAATAACTTATATATCAAAACAAAATATTTATTAAATGAAATAGTCTCCATTCTTATCGATGAT